GGCGCCCTCTCTTTTCAGTCTGCAGCTCTGCCGGGAGTGAGCTGCAGACCACATGGTGAGTCTCGCGATCTCCAGTCAGTCAGAGCGTTGCCGTGGCAACCCGCGGTAACGCTCTGACAGGCTGGAGATTGCAAGACACTTCAGTCTGCAGCTCAATCCCAGCGGAGCTGCAGACTGAGGCTGGATCTCCATCAGGGCAGACTGACAGGAGGGGCCTCACATCCGGCGGCATTGTGAGTAAGCCGCCAGGGCCTCCTCCTGTGTCGTGTCCTCTGTCATAGACCGAGGACCCGACATGTTAGTCTGCCCTAAGGCAGTGCAGCACAGAGGTGTGATTAGGGTGTGCCCAGGCACAAATGATACAATGTTACTATTTTCCTATTTGCATTGTGTGCCCTGCCTGTGCCTGATCTGGACTGGATGAATGTGATGAAGTGCTAAATCTTTTATATACATTTAAAAAGAAAACTAACTGAAAAAGTTTAATGCAGATTATAGGTGATTTTAAACGTTTTGCATTATTTCATTATTTATAAAGTCCCAACAAATTCTGTAGCGCTGTACACAGCAGCGTGATTTCTAGAGAAGTGACAATTCCCCTTTAAACTCTTTCAGTTTAGTGTCATCCGATTGCTAGAAATGTCTCAGCACCACTTTTCTTAATGTTTTGCTTATGGTTCTTAAAATACTAAGATTGCTCTCATTTCTAGATTACAAGCTCTTCTGTGTAAAGCCTATTTCATCGAGATATGGCAAACATTGCACTTTGTATGGGAAAGGCTACAACGAAGAAAAAAATGCAGCTTGCAAGATGTTCAAAAATACCCTCATCACATTAATTTCCAGCCCTGAATGTGTTATTTCTAACGATAGACGGAGGGCCACTCAGAGCCCTAAAAGCAGTGAAAGTGTTAATGTAAAAGCCTCGGAGAAGATGTTTTATACATTAAGTAACAAGATTTACATGAAGTGTGTGATAAACAGAATGTTTCTTTAATCGTGAGATAAGGCTGAAGTTGTATACATAAAACGAAAGCACTTTTTATCTCGACGCTGGGCCCTTCAGCAACAAAGGGGTTATTTCAGCTGCGTTCAATACTTTATGCCAGACATGTCTTTTTAAAGAAGACAGCAAGGTGGCCTTCACCAGCTGTAAGACGAATTACAGCGAAATTCAAGCTCTAGTGTGGCAGAGGGGGAAGTGCTTCAATGGGTTCCCGCCAAGCCTATCGTCCCCAGAAATCAAATCCTACAAGGATGGAGCCATATAGAATCTCCAGGCCGATATTCGCTAGAATAAGAGCTCTTGTGTTTTAATGATGAATATTCTAGGACAGGGATAGTTCACAGAGGAACTGTCACGTTTGAGATAAGAGCATATTTGAATTCAGAAAGTAAAATGAGCTTTCTTCATATTTATATAAGTAGCTCTTCGTATACATATATTCTGATTAAATAAATTACTTTCTGACATCACAAAAGTCATCTGAAATGGAATAAACCGTTTTTTTTTGAGCCAATTAGCATGCATTTCCCACCATCCTCTAGATTCTAGAGCAGTGAAGCTGAGTAGCTCGTTTCTTGAAAGTTTTGTCACATTTGGCTGAACTCCACACTTTGCCGTCATAGGTCAAGGAAATTCATAAAGCAAGCATCGGCAAGCAAGTGAATTTTTCTTACTGACACTATATCACTGGACCAGAGCATCATGGGAGACATAGATGAATGTGCATTAACTAGTCTGGCCAGGGCCGTCTTTAACGAGGGGCAAACGGGGCAGCTGCCCCAGGCCCAGTTACTTCTGGGGGCCCCCTGCCCACAAACAAGCCCACCGGGATCCTGAGAAATGTCCCAGTGGGCAGCCACACCGGAGGTAATCAGGGGCCCCTATCATTCTGTTTGTTCCTCCCACGGCCTGCTGGGAAGAAGTAAGGTCACATCACTTCCTCCCAAGTAACAGAGAGTCTCGTGGGAACGAGGAGGTACACACAGGAAGAGAAGGAGGAGAGGGCTGTGTATCTGGTGGTATGTGTACCAGTGTGTCAGTGTTTATGTGTGCCTGTGTATGTGTATCTGTGTGAAGGTATAGCTGTGTCTGTGTATGTGTACTTGTATGTCATTGTGTATGTGTACCTGCATGTCTGTGTATCTGTACGTGTGTGTGTGTGTGTGTGTGTATTTGTGTCAGTGTGTATCTATGCATGTGGCAATACATACATCACAGCATTATAATGCCAACACTATACACAGCATTCCAACACA